CAATCCAACCGAGATAAAAGAAATTCAAAGGCAAGTGGAGGAGCTCATGGAGAAGGGTATGTACGAAAATGTTTGAGTCGATGTTCTATACGAGACTTATTGTTGCCAAAGAAAGATGGAACTTGGCGCATATGCATGGATAATAGAGTCATCAACAAAATCACGGTAAAGTATCGACATCCTATTCCTAGGTTAGATGATGTGCTTGATTTATGGAATGATTCGTGTCTATTTATAAAAATTATTTTGAAATCTGGATATCATCAAATTAGAATGCACGTAGTAGATGAATGGAAAACAACTTTCAATATTAAGTTTGGATTGTATGAATGACTTGTTATGCTTCTAGGTTAACTAATGCTCCTAGTATTCCTATGCACTTAATATATAATGTTTTGAGAAAATATATGAGAAAACATGTTATATGAGAAAACATGTTGTTGCTTATATTGATGGTATTATAATTTATTGAAGATTTTGCTTGAGCATGTGAACGCATGTTAAATTAGTTTTGATTACACATAGAAAATAGAAATTTAATTTTAATATGTGTAGTCACTCTCTTGGTAAAAGTAGAGCAGCATTAGATAAAAACAAAGCTAAATTCATTATGGATTTGCCAACAACAAAAAGTGCACGTAAAGTTCAGAGTTTTCATGAGTTAGCTAACCTCTATAAGAGATTTATAAATAATTTTAGAACCATAACTGAACTATTGAATGACTTAGTGAAAAAGAAAGTTGTTTTTAAATGGGGAGAAATGCAAGAGAATGCATCCAATTTTCTTAAGAAGAAATTAAGTCAACCATTATTTGTTTGGGCTAGTTTTGATAAAACTAATAAAATTGAAGGTGATGTATGTGGTTTGAGCATAAGTGTTGTTTTAATTCAAGGTGGAAAGCACTTAATATATTTTAGTGAAAAATTAAATGGGCCAACATTCAAAAATACTACCTATGATAAAGAATTATTTCCTTTAGTTCATATATTGCATGTGTGGCCACACTACTTATGGCCTAGAGAATTTGTGATCCATTTTGATCATGAAAGCTTTAAGTATGTGAAGGGTCAAAGCAAACTGAATCGTAGACATGCAAAGTGGGTGGAATTTATTGAAATATTTTTGTATGTTATCAAATATAAGCAAGGTAATGATAATATGGTAGCTGATGTATTATCTAGAAGGTATGATCTCTTTACTTCTCTTAGTGCAAAAATTCTTAGACTTGAGCATATTACCGAATTATATAGAGATGTCCAAGATTTTAGAGCTACTTATACATCTTGTCTTGTAAAAAAAAGCTATGGATGATTATTATTTGTTTCATAAATTTTTTATGCTTTGTATTCTTAAATGCTCTCTAAAAGATTTGCTTTTGAGAGAAGCACATGGTGGAGACTTAATGGGACATCTCAGGATTAATACAGTTTATAAGATGTTGCATAAACACTTCTTTTGGCCGAAGATAAAGCACGATATCCATAAGTTTTGTAGCAAATGTTTAAAATGCAAAGAAACTAAATGTTCTAATATTTTTGTGAGTGAAAATTTGATCAAAACATTGCAAAAGGAGGTGAAGGAAAAAAAATTGTATACTCCTATAAGGTGATGATTTTTTTTTATTCAAGGATGAATTCGACTTTCTGATTCGAGGACGAATCCTTTTGAAGAGGGGGAAGATGATAAGAATCCCGGTGTTCCAAATGGACCTATTGCCAAGAAGATTAAAAAACATGTCGATGCCAAGAAGATTAAAAAAAATGTCGATTAAAAAATGTCAACAACAGATTCTGATTCGAGGACGAAGATGATAAGAATCACGGTGTTCCAAATGGACCTATTGCCAAGAAGATTCAAAAAAATGTCGATGCCAAGAAGATTCCAAAAAATGTCGATTCAAAAAATAAGAATCACGGTGTTCCAAATGGACCCAAGAAGATTCAAAAAAATGTCGACGCCAAGAAGATTCCAAAAAATGTCGATTAAAAAAAATCACCGTGTTCCAAATGAACCTATTACCAAGAAGATTAAAAAAATGTCAATGCCGAAGATTCCAAAAAATAACTGTGTTCCAAATGGACCTTTGCCAAGATTAAAAAAAATGTCGATTCAAAAAATTCAAACCTACAGAGCTAAGTTGATTTTGAACCTATTGCATTAGCTACTCAAGCACATCAACATTTATTAAAACAATTTATTTTTAGTTTTATACATTATGTAAAAGTCAAATGGTCAATTCTTTTGTAGAGATTAAAGGGGAACGGGAATAAATCCCGTCCACAAAAATCTTTTGTCGGGAGACTATAAATACCCACAATATGTTACGTAAAATTCAGATTCGTGGATGAATATAATTCAGATCTCAAATTGAGACATTTTCCTTAGAAATCCGAGCATCATATTTGCCATTTCTAAGTTTCAAGCAATTCTTGCGGTAGAATTGCACCCGAGCCATTCAATCAAGCCTTGATCAAGTTCAATTGTAGAGTGACTCAATTTAGAACAAGATTTCCAAATCTTGCTTCTAGATCTTCGATCGTAAGAGTTAATCTAATTCTAGTCTTATCTCTTGGTTGATCCAAAATTCGTATGGGGAGGTGTTAATTACTTTGATTGAAGGGTTCTTGCTTCAACAAAAGCTTGGATCGTTGGGCTGAAGATTAGGATTGCCTTATTACCACACCCTTGGGAGTCTCTAGTTTCTGATTTTTCTCCAAGAACAGGAGATAGTTTTAGGATCTAATATTTGTATATGGTGGTCTAGCAAAGGATTCACACAAGTCTCGTGTTGACACTCGTCCAAGAATCACGTCGCAACCTATGTATTTGAAGTTGACATTTTTGGTAAGAATACACACTTTTCCACAAGTTTAAACATGAATATTAAGCCCTATGATTACCGAAAATATAAGAAAATTATATTAGAGAAGTAGGTTGTGAAGACTATTAAGCCCTGTTTTCGGTTTGTCTGATTCTCATTCATCAATTTTTCATCTCGATTTCAATGCCATCCTTATTTAATGTGAACTTGGCCCTTCAATCAAAAATTTGGAATTTTTGGACACCTTGACTTGAAATCGTACTCGGAAAGGCACTCGCCAGACTTGTAAGTAACCACACTGACTTCTAGGAAGTAATACTTGTAGGGATCGTTTGGAGAAGTCAATAATACTTGTAGGGATCGCTTAGATTTGCATGCATACTAGTAAAACCAATCCTAGGGCTAGCCCGATATAACTTGTACTTAGGAGTATTGGTTAATCACATGATTATATGCTCTTATATTTGGATGTGGATGAATTGAACCTTGTATGTTGAATTGTTCGCTTTTATACTGCTTGTATATTGTCATGCTAGATTGGAGAAGGGAATTTTGTGTATCTGCACTCTGATACTTGATGTATGTTATCGTAGTAGACACTTATTTAGTTGGCCTAAGCTTGTATGTTGAAATGTTATGTGCACGTTATGATATATGATATATTATGTGCATGATATGATTTAAAATACTCAAGCCACCTGCTACTTCTATTTCAGGTTAAGACAAGACATGTCACAACCCAATTTTCGAGGCTTCGAAACTTGGACCATGACCCAAAAGAAGAAATCGAAAACAAACAAAAAGAAAAGAAAACTAAAGTAAAAGATAAAAATACCATTTAATTGTTTTATAAATTATTAAAAAAGAAATTTCAAATATAAAATGAAATATACAAAAGACTCTAAAAGACCGACATGGGACTGATGCTTCGAAACGACCCCCCTCTATGATAGTGTAGCTCTCGAACACCTCCCCACCTTGACTGGTACCTGAAAAAAAAGGGGAAACGAGGTGAGTATAAAAATATAATGAGTAAGCAACCTACTTGTAGGCTTTTAATCGCATCCAAGTTTTGGAGAGAACCACCAACTATGCTCTAGACCCTAGAGTCTCAGTATTCTCAGGTTTGGGGTGGAAGGACTTAACCTTTAAAGCGGTATTCAGCGTTTGAGGATGAGGTGCTCCCTCATAACTACATGTACCCCTCGTACAACCCAGCTAGAATTAGTCACTGCATGGTCAACGTCCTTCCACAGGACGGATTCATCATGCAGGCAACCTTGACCCACCCTCGCGATCAACATCTTACCATAAGACAGATCCCCATGCAAAGTAGTCGATCTACCACTGAGTAACACTTCCCTAACAGACGTCTCACCAAGCTCAACAGTACCACACCAAAGTAGGAAGGGAAGAGTAACACCTCCCTAACTGGTGTCTCGCCTAGCTCAACAGTACCACACTGGAGTAGGAAGGAAAGTGGAGTATACTCGAACGCTATACCAGCTACTGTTGGCTAAGAGGTGGTTCTAACGTGATTCTCTATGTCTCAAGGGTAGTTAAAACTATTGAGTTTGGGGCCCTGGCTTCCAGGTTCACTCAATCAAGACTTCCAAGTCCATAACAATCCAAGGTTAAAGGGTCTCTCCCTCTAAGCGTCCCTCACGACACCACTGACCGTAACATCAAGAGGGTCCCCCATCTAAACCCAACTCAATCCCTACAATAGTACACCCTAGGCATAACACAACAATACAACTTATCATTCATATCATAAGTTCACACAATCATTCAACAGGAGTTTATGTATGATTAACAATGCATTCAGTCATACAAGCTCAACGGGGCGGTAATATCCATCAACACCTAGAGCACAGATACACAAATCCTCCCATCCACCAATATAGTATGAATAGATAAAAGTAGTAGTAAGATAGTCCAACAAGCATATTGTAATAACCCAAAAATAAAAATAATATGTGTTTAGGTAGGTACGTTTTTGTGTTGATAATTATTATTATAAAGATAATTATGAAATAAGTAAATAAATGAATTCATTAATAAAAAAAATAAAAATAAAAATAAAAGAAAGAAAGACAGTAGCTTCTGAAGCGGCTGCCACGAAGAAAGGAGGAATGGACAGGTAGTTTAAAGGGGAAAAAGAAAGAAAGAGGGAAGTGTGAGGTGGTGCGGATGGTTCTGGGATTAAAAACTAAGAACAGAAAATAAGGAAAAACAGTAAACAGGGGAAGAGAGTTGAAATTGGTGACTCTTTCGAAATTCCTCATGGTTTGGGGATTTCCTGTCGGGGCGCAAGCTTGAGAAATTCCTCAGTGTTGGAAGCTCAAAGGGATAAGCCATATTACGCGTTTATTCGAAAGTAAGAAAACCCATTTGACCGAATCTTTAAATTCTGATATCTTGGTCTATACTGGGTAATAAGTTATGAAATATGACTTGTTAGAATTGTAATAAGGAGATCTATAAAGTTGTAGTGGAAGTCGGGATGAAATTCGGGCTGTAGGGGTGGAATATGGCTTCAGGACATAATCGGTGTTAATAGAAAAGTTGGGAAAATTTGAGAAAATGCAAGGAAGAAGAAGGAGCGTGTGCACTACACGTAGGGCGCGTGAGGAGCCGCAAATGGGCTTGCGACTGGGAGTTCTCCTGGCGCGTGGGACAAACACACCGAGAGCGTGAGGGCGCGTAAGACCTCATTTCGGCCTCCGGTTTGTCCTGTTCGATTCGTTTTGACCTGTTCTATCTAGATTGACCTATACTTACCTTGTAAATGGTGAAATATAGGTCTAATTGAAGGAAATTGTGTTGAAATACCCTATTAAACGTACATTCAGGGAGAAAGGGATTCGAAACCAAGTAAGTAGCATATCCATCCTTGAACTAGTTCTTAACTTGTTGACAACATGTGAGTATCTTGTTTACCTGATTAAGAGCTTAGTATGTTAAAATGAGCTTTGATGATATTGAATGTTTATTGTATATCGTGATTGCTTGCCTGTGATGTAAGCATGATATAAATGATTACTAGAATGTTCTATATGTTGAACATGATAAATGTATGAAAGCATGCAGTAAATGAGTATGTTATGCATGTTAATGGAAAGGTTATGACTCTAGGATATGCTTATTGGTTGTTGAGCCATAGCTTATTTATATGAGTACGATAGTCTACTAATTCCCGCGGAGTTCCTGACCCAACGCACTGTGTGTTAAGTCAGGGAGCATGAGTACTCCTGACCGTTGGTATATGAGATAAACAGGTCGCCCGAGAAATTAGTAGACGGGCTGTATTTGGCCGAGAGCGAGTCTTACATACGAGTCCGAAAATTTTAGATAAGCATATCGAGAGAGAGTCAGTAACCTAAGCTGGCGGTAGCTGAGATACCTCATTAATAAACGGATGACTCTAGTAAGAGAAACTAGGAGTCAATGGCTAATAAAACTTAAAAACACCTGGAAAGATTAGTTATGAACTCATGAAAAATAAGCTCACTACTTATTGGGTAATTTAATTACTCATCAAAATTATTTTTAACTTTTCTTTCCAGATTTAGTTGATGCAGGCCAACCGAGGACGAGGACGAGACCAGCGGGCTAGAGACTATTTAGGAATCCATGTCTTACTTTGGTCGTTTTAAGTTTTAAATAGTACTGGTTTTAAATGTTTTTACGGGATGTTTTTAGAAATATTTTGAAATTTATGATTGGTTGTCAGAGTTTATTATCGATGTCAGTGGTAGCTCCTGTGAATCGCGTTGACGATGAGCGGGTGTTACACATACAAACATCGAGTACGAAATCTCATTAAGGCAGCAAGTACAACAAGTATATATTTAATTTCCCTAGTACAAAGGATCATTAGATCTAGCCTCTTAGGGGTAATTTGCTCTAGCATGTATGCAAAGCCAAGTGCACCCTACAAGTATTACTTCCTAATTCTGTGTGGTTACTTACAAGAATGAAGCGTGCCCTTCATGTATGCAAAGTCAAGTGCACCCTACAAGTATTACTTCCTAATTCTGTGTGGTTACTTACAAGAATGAAGCGTGCCCTTCAAAGCTTACTTTTTGGCTAATTAAGAGCTAGGGATGTATGCAAAGTCAAGTGCACCCTACAAGTATTACTTCCTAATTCTGTGTGGTTACTTACAAGAATGAAGCGTGCCCTTCAAAGCTTACTTTTTGGCTAATTAAGAGCTAGGGATTTCCAACGCGCGTGTGCGGACACGCTGAGAGGATGGAGTCGCGCGCTGAGGGGTCGCCATGTGGCGAGGGCTAACTGGTCCACTGAGAGCCACGGTGTGCGTTCGATTCTGGAGGATACCTATGGTTTTTCCCACTCTGATGCGTGGCGAATGCGGAGTCAGGTCGGTTGACGGGTTCGGGTCGCACGCGGGTTCACGGATCTGGTAGCGGGCACCAGCCTTTAAACCCTACCTGACGCAATATTTCTCTGCCATTACACGTTGACACGTGTCTCATCATTCCGGCGATGCGCGGCCCTCTCTTTGCCTGACACACGTCTCTCCGTCATTCGTCTCCTTCCTCTCATCTCTTCGATTAACCAAAAAACCAATTATTTTCTATTTTTTTTTTATATTTTCGTATTTCTTTCTACACAACTCGAATTAACATAATTTCTTCACAAGATTTGTAGATCTCATATCCCTCCACATGTAGGTATTTTTCTTGTAATTTATTTCTAACCACAGAGGTAATAAACTTAGTCCAAAGTTGTCAAGAAACATCAATACTTACCTCCTTTGGTGAAAGCCGAAATTCCTATTTTTGATCTGAATTGATCAAGACCTACTTCACGGATAATGAGCGCAATCCTCTCTAAATTAACATATTCAAATTTTAGAATCTAACTCTCAATATTTCACACAAATCTGAGGAAAATTCGAAAATAAAGGTACAAGAACTTACCTACGAATTTTCCTCGTTCCTTGACGGTATTGGACGACTCAATGATCCAGAATGCTTTCGATAGGTTCTATAAAGAATTTGTGAAGAAATCTCAGCTGGAATTGGACTCCTCATGATCGAATCGGAAGTGGCAGTTACTTCTCCTCTCAGAGAACTTTTTTTTTTTTTTTCTTTTCTTTTCCTCTCTTTCCTTCACATTTTTATTTCTTTTCTTTTATTCATCGTTTACTAACCTCCCTTTCAGGTTCTTAAAGGAGGAAGATGGAAAAATGACCAAATTACCCCTCTGGGTTGACTTTGGCCATTTTTTCTCTATATATTTTTCTTTAGTTTCATAGATATTCCTAAGCATTTTTCTCTTCTACCTCATCTCAAAATTTGGTCTCTAAGATCCTCAATAAAATTTCGGAAGTTTAACTTCAAGGGAAAAAATTAGGTTTTAAGTTTCTCGTCGGAGTTTGTGTATTACAAGGCATTCCTGTACGACTGACGACGACATCGCAACTCGAGACCATGACACATGCATAGGGTAGTCGTATTTATTTTGTTAGACTTAGGCTAGAATAGGAAGTTTTTAATTCAAACGTTTATTTATTTTATTTAGTCTTTTGTTGTGTCGTTTTTAAAGGTATTTTCAAAACACATACGTCTATGACTGTGTTTTAAGATGAAAGTGACGTTTTATGAAAGTTTAAATGAAGTATTTTCGCATTTAATGTTGATGATATGTATACAGTGGTGACCTTAAATTAAGTAGAAAATTTCGGATCGTTACAATATAATTCAAATGACATAAAACATAAATTCTTAATGAAATTGATGGGGTGAATTAGAACGTAGTAGTTTAGCATAAATAGTGCAAGAGCATCGGAAAATTCAATAATTAAAAGTGGTAGTTGGATACTACCCTATTAGTAATTTCATATATTTTATATTAATACATGTATATATTTTTAACCGACCATAGGAACCAAAACAACTATATCATCATCGACATCAACCCAAACTCGTGAAGGATTGAAATTTAAAATTCTTGGACTCCCAACTTGAATCTTTTGTGCTTTGACGTTGGGATTCTCCATTTCTATTACTTGAGCATGGCCATCTACTTTTTCCTATTTAAAACAAATATTCATGTTAAATTTGTTAATACATCTCAATGCAAGCATATTCACACGATATAATTTTTTTTTTTAAATAAAAATTCATAAGAAGTGATAATTATTTTCACTTGATTTTAGTTAAAATCAATTAAAAAAAATCTAAATAATATTATTATTCTCCAAAAAAAAAAAATCACTTATTTTATAGGAAAATTGTCTATCTATGTTATTATTTAGTCGGAAAGAAAATCAATATTATTTATATTCATAGATAATTCGAACAACAACCTCAAAGTTTACAAACCGCTCTATTAAACCATTTGGAAACAACTTCAAAATAATTACAAAAATATGTGATAGGAAGAACCTACAAGGAGGACACACTTGATCCATCAGAAATGTTTAGCTTACTCTTTTGTTGAGTTGTTTGGCCAAAAGGGGTTGTATTTGATAGCCAATGCCTACTAACCCTTTAGAGGCATACTCCTTTTATAGTAATTTTCTTGAAAGATAAAGTTCTCTTTATATTATTTACATTAAAGATAGGAATAAGAATAGGAATGTTTACTTTAGGAAAGTGTCTTTTTTATTATAATTATTTACGAGTTAATTTTTAACTTTTGCATTTAGTTTTATTATATAATAGTAAATAGTGTAATTTTGTTGAGAATATAGCTTAATTCTATCCTATACAAAATTTAAAAGGTTAAATCTAGAAACATATGTTGCAACTTTCATATAATTAATTGAAGATAAATGCAATCGAACATAGTCACGTGATTCCACGAAAGTATAAAGAAAATTTATCAAGTAGAGAAAAATAGAGGAAGAAGAGCAAACAAAAAATCACTCAAATTTAATGGAAGATTGTTCCTATTTATATAGTTTTTTTTTTTCCAGAAAAAATTACTCAAATCTTTTATATTTAAGTTGTATAGGCATGTAAAAGTTATGCCTTAACAATTTTAAAACCAAATTCTAAGAAAGAGTTTAAATTGATTTTCTTGTAAAAATTTAGGGTGGTAATTGATACAACTCTAAGAAAGAGTCTATTTGTAGCCCAATCTTCACTCACGAGCCCGTCCCATAACGTGTCTTTGGCCAATCCAGCATATTGCGAAAGTTGACCCGCATGCACTCTCGATCCACCCAATGACTCGACTCACAACTTGCATGCTTTCTTCGTAACCCATGTGCGGTGTGCGTGATTTAGCCGCTCAGTGGTGACTCATCTCAGCTCGCTTATCTGTTCAATTCCCTGTGTGCGGCTCACACTCGGCTTAAGCAGCTCATTTAGGTTCGGAATAAAGTTTTTGGTATTAATCTCTATGTTTTTTACTCTTTGGAGTTGAGTGATTCTAGTATAGGACAATCAAGTAAGTGGCTTCTATCAGTTTGATTGGATGAATTGTATTATGTGTGATGACGCGTACTCCTTCCATATACTTATTATATGTATGATATTTTAGGTTAGAGTTTAGGATTTAGGATTTAGAATACCGGAGAAAAGCAGAGAAGACTATAGCCCATCCATAATTTGAGTGGCCCCAAAAAAATATAAAAACAAAAGGAGTTTTCATTATAATATGTCTTTTTTCCATGTAAGAAGAACCATTCTTTTATGGCTTAAATTGGGTAAAAGAGAGAGAAAAATAACCAATATTTAAACATTCCCAGCTTTACTCATCCAATAAAACCTAACACTAGATCATCCTAAAACATAGAGACTTTAACTTGAAATTGATATTATGGGTTCACATAGATTGACTTGAATACAAAGGACAAAATTAAATTTTCATTAATTACAAATTGGTGACACCAACCTAAGCTAATTAAGTAAGTGGTCTTACTATCGACATGATTATATTTGATGTTGACACGTGCCCCGTAGTTCTGCACATGTCATATATATTGATATGTGTAAATTGTTTGTGGATCGATATGCTTATGATATGTTATGTATATGTTATAATATGTGAATTGTATGATAATACTTACGATACAATGTGATCAATGATATGTTTGAGATAGGATATGAGAATGATGCACTAAACATAATGTAATAGTAGGAGTAAGATATGTTCATGTCATGTTAAGGTTAGGTTACGTATCGAAATGCTATGGATATAAGAGATTGATAAAAACTATATGGTCATAATCGACTGATAAAAGAATACGATTAGATTAAGGGTAGAAAGGGATAAGATTATGATATATTGATAGAACGATTGTGTTAGGACATTCCTATAACGTTATGACTAAGATACATTCATGTAACGATATAATTGTGATATGTATAAGGACATTAAGGCTATGATATATTAGAGAACGATATGACCATGAAGTGTTTACGATTTGATATGATTATGATACGACATGTGAATGATGTGTATATATATATATATATATATATATATATATATATATATATATATATATATATATTTGGGATAGGATATAAAATATGTTATGGTAGGAGATATGTGATAAATTGACATATTTATGATATGATATATTGTGATGCGATATGTTATGGTATGATATGTGTGATGAAATGCTATGTTAAAATCATGGAACGTTATGTTATGTCTCCTAAATTTTGTGTATATAGCATGATATGAATGACATGAAATCGCGATAAATGGCATGAAATATAACCCCGTTAGAATTATGTATGATATGAGCATTGAAAAATTAGAAATGATATGATATGAATGAAAAACGATAGTGGATTTATATTTAATAATGTTGAAAACGGAAAAATATTGGGACTTCATGCATTATGTGTGCTCATGCATTGGAGGATACCCCTATGTCATCACGAGGTCACAGACGCGTAAACCATTAGGTAGGTGAAGTATCATTATGTTTTACATAATGCTGTCGTGACGGTTACTAATTCTAATGGGTGTCTAGCATAAGGAGCCACCAAAGCAGGCTCGCCCGACAAGAAAAGGGGCCCAATGGTGTGCGAACCGACTGGTGAGCCTATACTCGCACGTATGGACTGTGTGTAGAGTATATAGTGCCGTAGGAAAACAGACTGATATGATAAGTCCCCTCATTACATTCACATGTTCTTGCATTTAACCTCCGATAGTGGGGGTCAATTATTAAGTATTGCTGTAAATACTCAAGTCGTGTGCTACCTCTATTTCAAGTTAAGGCAAAACATTCCTCTATGGTTGACGACGGCATCGCAAGTTGAGACCATGGCACACACATAAGGTAGTCGTATTTATTTTCTTAGACATAGGCTAGAATATGATGTTTTTAATTTAAATGTTTATTATTTTATTTAGTCTTTTGTTGTGTCCTATTTTTAAGGTGTTTTCTCTTAAGATGGAGGTGATGATTTATGAAAGTTTAAACGAAATATTTCCGCATTCAATTTTTATGATATGTATACAGTGACGACATTAAATTAAATAGAAAACTTTGGGTCGTTACCGTTTGTCTTGCATCATACATTATGTCATGGTTGTAAGCTATGGCTCATGCATATTTGTGTGACATGTGCATTGGGATATTTCCCATTATGAAGAGAACATATGCATACATTATAACTTATGATGTACATCATTATGTTCACCATGATATTATGTGGGTCATTTCTTTCTATAGTGTTCAACATAGAGCCCGTTAACGAGTGCTAGTCTGATGAGTCAGGCCCCCAGGGGGTGTGTGATCCTGCCTTATGAAGCCATGCTCGCATGCATGGGTCATGTGTAGAGAAGTACACATCCATGCTTACCCAAACATGAGAGCAGCATAAGTTCATACTATGATAGGTTAAAATGACAGGTCCAACTATGTTGCATGTTTTTTTGCATTTAATGCCCTAAACAATTGAGTTATTACTCAAGAGTTCTTAAAATATTCGTCAGCCTACATTTTAGGTAAAGGTAAGACACTTTTGTACCAATAACGGCGACGTCGTGACAAAGGTTATGTAAGTAGTGTCAAGGTAGCTACATTTATATCTATTTTGCAGCTCTTAAGTAAGATCTAAGTCATTGTTTCAATATTTTCTTTATTTTATTTAAATTTTATGTTACTTGTTTTCGTTTTGTTTTAAGAATTTTATTTCAAACATTAAATTCATAGCATCATTTATGAACTATTTTAAATTAAGATATCCATATTTTACTGTCATGTTATCCATGTAGTAACAATTATATTTTAGTATAAAAATAGAGTGTCACAAATACAGTTTGAAAACACTATCACATCGAGTAAGAAATATTTGTTTTTCCTACATATCACAATCTAATTGTTTTTCCTATATCACAATCTAATTGATCTCAACGCTATAAGTATGTTCGTAAGTGAGGAATCGTCGATGGAAAGAAAAAGGGTCATCCCAATAAGTTCGAATTAGAGGAATTATGTTTTGGAATTGTAATAAAATATGAGAATATGGTACACATTCAAGATATTTTTCAAGGAAGGCATGGAGTTATTTTTTAGTACAAAAATAACATTTTATCATTTCAAATGTTTCAAAACAACGGTGGAAAAGGAAATTGGAATGCCTATAAAATGTTTAATGACAGATAGAGGAGGAGAATTCAACTCTGTAGAATTCAATGATTTTTGCAAACAGCATGGAGTGAAGAAGCAATTGACCACATCTTATAGCCCACAGCAAAATAGAGTGGTTGAACGCAAAAATCGCACTGTGATGAACTTGGTAAGAGCTATACTGATAGAGAAGAAAGTGCCTAAAAATTTCTAGCCTAAAGCAGTCAAGTGAACGATTCACATTTTGAATCGATCACCCACTCTTGCAGTAAAAGACATGACACCAGAAGATACTTGAAATGGAGTGAAACCATCAGTAGATTATTTCAAAGTTTTTGGATGTGTGGGACATATTCTTATTCCAGATGCCAAGAGAAGTAAACTTGAAGATAAAGATGTAACATGTGTTTTATTTGGAGTTAGCAGCGAATCCAAAGGCTATAGAATGTTTGATCCAACTACATATAAAATTATAGTAAGCCATAATGTAGCTTTCGAGGAGGATCGTGAATGAGATTGGAATTTTTTTGAGGTGAAACAAAATTGAATGTATGTAGAGTAACGGGTAACTTGAATAGGTGTCAAGGCACTTATACCCTTTATGTAAAAAAATTGTAGCCTATAAAGACACATTCCTTGGATCGAAAAGAGAGCTTTTGTTTGTTATAAGGGCGAAGATGAGGCCAACAAGCACACCCAAAAACTTTAATAAGGAGTAATTTTGTGAAGTATGAAAAAGACACTCTAGGGGGCATTTCTTATCGATGACACAAGTAGGAAGATGATTTGTGAGATATGTGGCTGTAAGAAACGCGTCATCCCAAAATTTAATAGGTACATCAGCATGAGCTAGAAGGGCTAGGCCAGTTTCAACAATATGATGGTGCTTGCGTTCAGCAGACCCATTTTATT